AGGAAAAAAAAAAAAAAGGAAAAAAAAAAGAAAAAAAAAAAGAAAAAGAAAATGGAACGATGTGACCGCGACATCGCGAGAGCATATAGACTTATATAGTAGGCCTATTAACGATTATTAGACGGCAGGGCGAAAGAAAAAAGTTCACGAAATGTGAAAACCCGGGTCGTGTCATCGAAATGGGGAAAAGGGGTTACGAGGACGAGCCAGATAGGGTCGAGGAAAATGTTATACGATTGACTCTGAAAACACGTAATGCCATGTAATCATATGGATGGTATATATATATATATCTCGAAGCAGGTGATTTTTATTACTTTCTTTTTTTATTTTTATTATTACACGAATAAAATATTTTCAATGTTGGGCCTTGTTTATTCGCAACATAATAATAATATAATAATAATAATAATAATAATAATATTAATATTATATATGGGCCCTGTTGTGTAAAAATCGGAAAATTGTCACAATTGTTAAGTGCATAAGTCGTATTATGCGATCATCATGCGGCGAGTAAGTGGTACGAATTCGAATTTAAAAAAGAAAAAAAAGAAAACATATTAGAAAAGAAAAAAAAATATATATACGATGAAGGAGGAAAATCTCTTCGTTTGTCGCATATTCCAGAAATAAAGAAATACTCATCGAGGCACGCCCTCTCGTAACTACACGCGCATTGCTATATCGAGAGAGTATAAAGAACGAGAAAAACTGTAACCGAAAGATCAGAGACTGAGAGAGCAAAGGTGTATACGTGAGAACGTGTGCGTTCGAATGCATGAGAGAGCGTGAGAGTTCGAAAGAAGTATGAGAGAATGAATAATGTGCGTGTCGAAGAAAGAAACAAAGGAGGAAATAGGAAGGAATAATTGGAATATGTCTCTTTGTCGGAGTGTGAACGGGAAAGAAGAAGAGATAGGATCGGAAAAAGGCAGAACAAGAAGTAAAGAGAAAAAAAAAAAAAAAAAGAAGGGGAAAAAAAAACTTATTAAAAGATATATCAAAGCGCACGAGTAATGAATAAACTCGTATCGTGATTTCAAGGACGCTCGATTATTTTGCTCGTATTTCTTTCGCGGTCCTTGTTTTTCTTTGTAATTGTACAATCGACAGGTTTTTATGTTGTAACGAGGAACTGCACACTTCTACGTATGACTTTGGTACGCGCGAGCACACGACATAGCTACATACATGCAAGGACATTATACGCAAATGCGTACATACGTATCATGCAACACACGAGATAAGGAAAACATACAGTATGTCGAGGCAGTGTAAGTGATATATATAATCTAGATATAGAGAAAGCGTTTGTGTAAATTCAGCGTTTGTCCTTCGAAATGCTACTTCTCCATATGAGAATACTTACGAGGAAGCCTATTCGTAATTTTATAATAATCATTAAAATATCGCCTAATTACAATTACGAAACATGCACAATTACCATTCAAAATGGATTCGTTTCTACGGATCTCCAGGAGTAAATAATTACCTACGAAAGCTTCTTTTTTTATTGAGACCGTAGCGTAGATCGTAAAGATAAACGAAAAGCGTATATATGTAAATGCTCCAAAATCTCTGAATACATGTAAGTGTTGAATGGAGCGAGCGTTCATTGTGCCCGCGACCGGCATTGATTTTTAAACGATATATTATTAATGAGTAAGGGGAAGAAGTAAAATTAAAAGTTGTATAGTAAACCTTTCATTAAATATATTGTCCGTAATGATCTTTACAACGAAATTCACACGTTTTTTCAAGGCAAGTTTTGGCGACGAGAGCGAACTTTTTATTTAAGAAAAAGGGGGAAAAAAAAAAAGAAAAAAAAAAAAAATCTTTAAATCCGACTGATCTGTACACTCGAATTATTAATCGTTAAATCCTGAGGTTCCATCGACGCAAACCTCGTTTATTTATTTTGCGCGTCGGAACAACAAAATTATAAATGAGATTTTTGAGTCGATGGTGCTTCAGACACAGACCAACAGTCTTCAGTATCTTCGATGAGCAGTTATAATAGTAATTAAACTATTCTACATTTATCTATAACCTATAATAAACTGTGAAACAAGTGTAACATCGTGTGTTTTTATTCCATCTTGAAAAATTTACAATTAAACTTGCATCAATTGTAAAAAAATCTTAATTATATAATTATTTATGCATTATTTACATTCACGTTATTGAACGATACTTTCCATAGTACTTATAAACGTATCCAATTCATCCTTATTTAATTCCATATCTAAAATACGTTTTGAATTTTTACTTTCAAGCATGAGATCTAATTGAAGAAGAGGTTCTCTCAATGAAGCCAATTTACTAGAACCCATTACAAGCTAAAAAAAATAACACATTTAACAACGACGTATCATCATCACGAGTTCAATTTCTTATTTTACCTTTAATTTCCAATCAAAATCGATTACAGTCTCGTATTTTTCTTTGGAACATTCTTTCAACAGAGCATCTGTTAATTGTTCTCTTCTCAATTTTAAACACAATAATATATTTTGTTGTATATGTTCCGATAGTTCATGATACTCTTGTGGCATCTAAAAATATATGATATATAAAAATGTATAAAATTTACTATAAAAAGTTTTTTTTTTTCCTAAGGAACTATTAATCGAACCTTTTCCTCTGTTACGTACAATGATGCTGGGTTTCTTAAGAGATTCGATATTAACTTATATGTTTCTTCGTATTCTTCCTTACTCCAATCCATTCTATTTACAAACTTATGATAGGTTGGACCTGGTCTACCACATATTTCATCCACGCAAGCATGCAATAACTAAATAATAAAAATAAATAAATTCTTTATTATATATATTATACATATTATATTTAATTATTATTATATATACTTACTTCTTTTAAAACGGGTATTTTATCTTCACCAAAGAGGTTAAGATACAAAGTTTGAGTAGTTTCCATTATTACGATCTTTTAAAAACTTTGTATAATTTGAAGTATAAATACTGAAATTTAGTAAAATTAAAGAAATTTCTATATAAAATATTATTAATGAATATTGATTTGTACCTTTATTTTACATAACAATAATCATACATCGTATTTTCATTTATATACATTACATATTGTATATTACAATAGAACACAATATTATTTAAGAAAAAAAATGAATTGATTTGTCGCGTATCAATAAATATTCCCACATTTTATCATTATTTTATTCAATTTGATAATTTAATGTTACAAAAACGTATAGTAACACATAAATTCGTTTCATCGTCACTTGTCATCGATAACCTTCATTTTATAGCAATAAAGTTATATACGACCAGAAAAGTACAGTACATACTAAGTAAAATTTTAACTTGAAATTTAGAATTTTAAAAATACCTCGAAACTAATATCACAGATCAGATATAGGATAGACTTAACACCAATATTTTCTTTCTCACCGGCTTACGATTGTCAATAAGATATCGAAACCATTTTACAGAAAGTATAGACAAGAAGAACAAATAATAGGGAAAAGGATAGAGATATAGTAAAAATTAGAGAATCAACGCCATCTATAGAATGCTACAAACGAAATGCATTAACGATAGCAAAATAGAAGATAAAGACAAGATAAGAATTAATCATTAGCGCTATCTGTGAAATTCTTTTAAAAAGATGTCTTTAGCACTGATAATCAATTCTTGCTTAATTCTTGTCTAATTTCACGTTGCTTCTCTTATTATCGATTCAGTATAGAAAATTGTTTCTACAATAGTTTTACGCTATTTACGAATAAATAAATCGTATATTTTTTTACACAAGTAAGAATTTACTTTTTAAACATTATTATGATAATTAAATTAATTAGTCGCTTGATTTTTTTATATTTTCTTATACTTTTATCTTCGATATGTCTAGTATCTTATATTATATTATTCAGTTATTCAATATTTTAATTTTGTTTCATAATCCTATTCAATCCCTCCAATATTCATTTTTTCAAATTATTATTTGATTGCCAGAATAACATCGAAGAAATATTACAATTTATAATCAATTACTTTCTTTTATATCAAGTAATATTTTATTTTTTTTATATTTTTTACAAAAATAGATATAATTAAAATAGGATTTAATTATCTTTTTATTAATATCAAAATGAATATAATTAATTATTAATAATAATTAATTTATTAAAATTATTTTATTATAAAATTAAATTATTTCGAAGATTCAATTTTTCGTTTCTAAAGTTTTTAAATTTCTTTCCTAATCTGTTTATATTATTTGTTATCATATTTATCTTTATCTTAATTTATATTATATTTAAAGAATAAACATAATTTTTATCATATAGTCTTTCAAAAAATTGAAAATCCGCGTTCGTAAACTCGATATATTTCGATTCGTGCCCTTTTCCCCTCACAATTTGTAATTCGATATTCGATGTGAGTGTGATTATAGTATGGATAATTATCATATTCAGACATATCATTTTTTTTCTTAAGATTATGATTTATTACGGAATATTCAGTTCTATAATTATTCTTCATCATTCATATTAACATGCGATTAATATATATTTCTTATTTTAAATGAAAATTCTTTGGTAATTAAATTATTACTTTTCTTTATTTATTTATTTGACGAATAATTACGAATAATTTGTATTATATCTTTCTAAAATGAAATTTATGATAATAGATTTATTTTGTTGAATCGATTATTTCTACATTTGAAAAAAAAAGACAAAAAAAGTGCTTTAAAAAATATAAATAATTAATGTATATACTACTTAAATTATAGCTATTTATAGATTATAAAATACTTTTAAATCGATATGTTAGAACATGCGACGCAAAATTCCGTAAGATGTCACATCTATTCTATTTTTCATCTATGTTTTATTTTAAAGAATAGATCTAAACATTTTGGATCGTCTAGTGAATTACTAAAAGCATTGCTTCCTAACATAACTACTAGATGGCCATAGTGATCCGATGATGCTTAACACGGTTTTCTTGCTATAAAAAATATATAATTAGTGTTTGTGCGAATAATTAGTAAGCATTAAAGTGTTTTAGATTAAAATAAAATTCCACAACAAATTTATTTAAAGTTATAATTTTATTGAAATTATATATATTCATGAATCTTTTTATACAACTTTATTGATTTATTGACTACGTCTATATTTATATATGTATACATATATGTATATTGGCTAGAATTGGTAGCGAGTACAACAGCAAGCTGAATGTTAAACGGCGTTCCATACATTTTCACGATTGATAGTAGAAAATTAGGCAGAAAAAAATGAAAGAACGCCTTTGACTTATCACGTACATAAATTGGATCATAGATCAAAATTAAAAAAATTGCTGATTGCGCGGAAAATGACATGATTGAACGTCATCCGTTACAACGAATTTGTATTTGTTTTATATTTCGCATAATATGAAAATGAACGTGCATAAAAGTATCGAAAATGAAAAATCAATGCAAGTAAAATCTTAAAACGTAGATCTATACACAATTGTACACGATGTTTCGATTGGCTCGTAAATGCTGGGCAAGCTGTCAAATCGGTTTCACGATTAAGTTGGCTACTAGATACGTAAGTACATAAGTACATACTACGATAATAAAGCGTAGAAAACACGATTAAGAGAATACGATACGAAACACTCACGATTCGAAGGATGCATCGGACAACTCGTACTTTTACTTCCTTTCTTTTCTTTTCTCTTCTTTCTCTTCTCGTATACTTAAATACAATATTCTCATCTCGTATACTCGCAAGATCCATCATCTGTACAGATAGGCGATGATCCTACGGTGGGTTCATCGGAAAAAAAAGTTATTTATATCTCTCGCCTGTATGTGTTCGTATCGTTCGTTTTTCGCTTCTTTCGATTTGCTCTTCGATGAACACAAATATCTCTTGCACATTTACGCGTGAACATAAAATCGTAGGAGAATATCGAGAGATTTACGTTAAGTTTGCGCGCAATTACTTCTCGCGTTTACTATATTTCCTCGCTTTGGTATACGACCGTCGGTGTCCTTCGCACGGGCGATTGACTGTATAAGTTCATCGAACTCTCGAGGGGAATCGTCTGGCGCAGAATGGAGACAGGATCTCGGACTAGGCTCGTCGTCCTATGACAATAGAGTCTATTATTATATCAAGAATAATTCCATCTCTCTCTCAGATCTGTAACAAGTTTTCAGCGGTAGCCGAGCAAATCACGATTATTCACGATTTACAAGATCGAAAGATTCGACATGAATCATAACACGATTTGAATCCGTTCGGAATCGGAATCGACGAAATTTCATTGATCGAAGTATCAAAGGAAGACAGAATTAATACGAAGGGATGCGATAATCTCGAACCACTCGACGAATCTTCGCGTTTCATCGAGCCGTTTTGATCGAAATACCTCTTCTCGATTTACGATAACGATAATAGTAGAAAAATACGATATAATAGCGGTAAAATCCGGGATGGAAATATATGTAAATTGATTCGAAGAGTATTATTACATATACATATGTATATATCGAGTCTTTCGCAAAAGGCACTCGGAAAGGAAAATGGCACCGTTGATTATTCGTCGCGCTCTCGCGATTTTTCACGTTCCTCCTCTTCCTCCACGGTTTCTTCTTCCCACTGGCACGATTATTCTCGTTCCTCCTACCTCCCTCTAGCTCCTGTACCGGTGATGGTTCGTGTAATGATTAACGATCGTGTCGAATTTGTCCTTTTTCCGGGGACACTTGCCTTGTCGCCTCATGTATTCACCAAATTCACAGCTAGGCATCGCGCACTCTTCGTTTTGTATACACCTGTAAATAAACGCAAGGAATTCGAACGAGCTCGTGATCGTGACAAATCGGAAGAGTATTACTCACAATCTATCGGCGAGAGAGAAATAACCTTTCCCTCGTCTGATCTTGATACAGTTTTGACGGTTCTCGTAGCAGTTGCACTGGCACACGCCATCCACGGTGATCCTCGGTGTGAATTCCGAG